TGTGTGTGAGGGACTCGGAGAACCATAGATTTAACACAAAATATAACAATACGAAGTCAGTGAGTGGCTTCCACCTCACCACCTCATACTAGTAACACCATATAATATTAGTAAATATTTACATTAGAAAAGTGTTAATTCATCACTTATAAAGGATAAATCCTATATAAATAGACATTAGCATGTAATTCATAAACACAGATAAGAATGTGTCAGTCTTGATTTATAAGTTCACATCCGCATGTTTAATGACACTATTTTACATTTATAAATATGTATTGGTTAAAGTATGCTTAATTGTGTAATTGTGTTAATAGAGGTTTTATAAATACTTAATTTTTTATAATCCATAGTTAATGCAAGCAGTTTTAAGTAGGTTATTTTGTGTCACCTAAAGTGAAATAAGGGAAGGATGCCTTAAAATGCATTTACAAGGGAAACTGAAAGGACAGCAAGTAGTACCTTAAGATTCAAAAGTCTGTTATGTTAGCAGCAAAAAGTAAATGACACAGTTGTACACAGCGCAACAGAAACAAAGGGCAAAGGTTGGCACAGAAAACTCAAAAGAGAACAAAACCTAAAAGTTTTATTTCAAATTTCAATTCCTGTAATGTAGTAAATATAACATCAAGTTCTGTTATCATAATGTGAATAGAAAGGCTAATATAAAATGCAATACAATGTAATTTCCCATTTACATTTTAACTGGATAAGATTTGCTTCATTTAGTCAATTAATGTCTCGCAGCAGACTGCAGACCAGCACACGCCTCATCTGTAACACGACATAAGAGTCACTGGCATGCATGATATAAGTTTCTGACTGATCTGATTTTGATGGGTGACAAAGAAAAAGAAATATTTTCCCAATAACAGTTACTTCGTAACATTTATTCATTTGTGGTATGTCTTGGGGAAATGGCTGTGACTGCAAGAGGAGCTCAGCTATTTGAAAAAAGCTGAGTGATTTTTCACACATTAATGCAAATTACCATTCAAAGTAATATTGCAGTAAGTTTACTGTACATGCCACTGTCTGAAAGACAGAACTGTCAACTCACATCTACTGTAATGATTTCAGCTGAGGACAGGATTCTATTTTTCTAACCAGAGACCAACACATCTGCTAGAATCTAACAAGATATTAAGTTAACACCTTTTTTTTTTTTTCTTTAAACACAGATTTTAAAAGTGCAGCAGAGCATAGTGAAATCCAATTACATCATTCCAATCATTCAACTATGTGAAGGGGACATCTTTCTTTGGTAAAGATCTTGTGATGCAGAAATTTTTTACTTTATCCTGTTTTGTTCACTGCAGATGGAATGAAGTTTATTTTAAAAAGAAACAGTATTTTGTGTATCATTTTGGAAAGCATCCTCATTTTAGCTGCAGTGCCTAAAACTTTTTCGAGTTTGCAGATATAAAATGGATAATGGGCTCAAATGAAAATCTAACCACTAGGCTCTGGAACTGAATTCTTACAATAATCTCTGGTATTTGTGTTCACAGTGATAGCTGTGTTCTGCTAACTGGCCCTTTTATTTGATTTAGGGAAGGAATGGAGAAAAAAACCTGCTGTATTGGTAAATTTAATGTGGAAATCGAGCTGATGGTTTAAGTATTTTGATGCTGTTGACAACGTATCTTAAAAAATAATAACGCATGTTTACATCACACAAGAGTGGGTTTTTTTCTGTTGTAAAAGAACTATCTGGCCCATACTCCATCCTTTGTGTGGCTAATGTGTGTGTGGTCTGTGCTCCTGTAGATAGATTATCTGTGAAGCTACAGGGCTGTTTTAACCTTGACTAGGAAGGTCATGGCACTTTGCTGAGTGTTGAAGTCCCTTGAAAGCTCCTTCCCATATGTTGATGTACGACAGGTTTATTTTTAAGTGATGTTTCACTCTGTTGAGACTGCTGGAGCACACAGTAGGGTTGTTGTGTCAAGATGTATTTTTTCCCTCTTCTTGACATATCTGATAACACAGGACTTGGTTGTATGATGCTATTACCATCTATCTTGCAGGGTCTTTTTAACAATGGTGTGTAGTAATGAAGACTTTTGATCCATGTTTTTGTTTATTGGTTGATATCACCTGCTATTTAGTCAATACAGGCCTGACAACTGAATGAAACAAGTAAAGTGAGTGAGGCATGCAAAGCTAAGAATGAATTTCACAAGTAAGGATTGCATAAGTCTCTTTCCTTGCAGCTCTTATACTGTTGTTTGATTATACCGCGTTCAAATATTTACATTCTGGCATTTATCTGTGCTGTTCTGTTATTTTCACAACATGTTCACATCGTGTTCTTTTTTTATCAGTACCGTAAAATAAAATTATCTTAAAATGGAGCAATTCAGTTGCTGATATAATAATTACATGGAAGTTAAATATTCAGCGTGGTGGTTATATTTTACGTGGGAGCTGAGTTCTGGGAGGTTACCCATACCCAAATACATGCCCACAAAAAAACACACACCCATGGTGAAACTGATAAAACACATAAAAGTGAATTCTCATACCCTGTAGATAGTTTCTCTTTACACTATGTTGCTTGTGTGGCTATTTCATACAAACTAAGTAAAGTAATGTTGGTTTCTTGAGCATGGATGTTTATTCTTAACCTTGAGATTATATGTGTAGCAATATATACAACGTGTAACTACATCTCCATTTGTGTGCTTTAAAAAGAAACTGCCTCTGTTGTGATAGCAGCTACAGTGAATTACATTGTAATAATACTGTATCTACTTTCAAAAATAGTGGTTGTGAAACGCTGTGAAAGCGCCAGAAAAATGCAGCTTTTGTTGCCTCTGACTTTGTTACACTCTGTTCTCACTAGGTGCAGGAGTGGGCCTTAAAATTATATCACAATCTTTCAAGAAAATTTGGGATAACCTGTGGTTGTGATGTTTCATTATTGAATCATGACCGGTTTACATTGTTATAGCATTTAATGTGAATGGTTACAACATTGTTGGACAAACACCAGAAGCCACCAATTCTTTTTCTTTTCTTTTTTGTCTTTTTGATGAAAGTAGGTTCTGTCGTAATTTTACTGATGTGACTGAGCCACACAAGTAAAAGTTCCGAATGTGGAGGTAGCTTTGTCAAGCTAAGCTAATGTTGTCCTCTTGTTTGTAGTGTTCCCCAAGTATTTCAGTTTATTTAATAAAATAGGTACAATACTTGCTTTTCCCTGTATCGATACAAGTGCAAACAAAATGAATACCCTTTTCAATCCTTCTTTTCCAATGAGCTAATTTTAAATGAGCTAATGAAACACTTCCTAATTTGAAGTGGGAATTTATTAAAAGCCAAACAGCAAAGCAGCATTATAGCATAATAATAGTTAGACGGTATATTTACAGAAGATTATTCTATCCCTAGAATGATGTATCTTTGGCCAGGTTTAATGATGGTGAAGCTAAATGTTGTTTTCACCTTTAAAGGGAATAATTGACAGTTGACTGTATTGTACTTTGTTGGAAGTTGCTGAAATGGCCTTTTTACTTAATTGTGGTTGGAGGCTGAGACGAAGCTCTTGCTGTCAGACATATCTGGTCTTTGCTTATTGTTGTGAACATATAGGGAATATATACGCATGGTAGTGCTATATCTTTGACATCATGGTGTGACACTTATATATTATGAATATGTGCCATATCATATTATCACAGACAATATAATGTGGCACAGCCCCAGTTGTCACCTTTCTGCAGGTATTACTTGATCTGGTTTGAGCTGTAAAGGCTACACAGCACATTCTTGTTGGTATTCTAATGGCATTAAAGTATGCTTAAAATCCTAGTTATGAATGTTTCTATGAAACATGCTCTGTTCTAGACTGAATCTTTCATTATCTGTGTCTGTCTTAATATGGCTGCTTGGGGAAATGAAGTGATGTAGGTCATTAATGTGATATTTCACTCAGAATTTTTACAATTATGTAATGTGCAAAGGAATATTTTAAAACTATGGAGTATGTGATTTAACTTTAATAAGCCCTTTTCAATTAAAGCACTTAGTGTCTCTCAGACAAATGACAAACCCCATAACCAACCAGTCAGACCTCGCCAGCAATGACAAAAACATAGTAACAATAGTACTGGTTTATCCTTTAAATAGGTTAAAAAACAACTAATGTGTAAGCAGGGGAAATTTTGCATTAGAGCATGTGAAGTCTAAACTTTTCTCATTGTTGGTCCTTTTAATTGGATGGGACTTGTCACTCTGGTAACCAAAAAAGCTTCTTTTTACTTAATAGTTTTTGATGCAAAGGTGTGGCTTTGCTTTAAAAGTTGAACCACTTTAGCCTTACTGCTTCCTTGGCTAGTTTGTGGAGATAGAAGATTGTCCAGGTAGCCCTTCAGAGAATTTGACACCCTGTAGCTCCTCATCTAATTTTTAGGGGTAAGCTGTAACATGTTAGAGTGCAACATTGTTCCAACCACCATGATTTTTTATTCATGTGCTACCATTGGAACATATCACTATCACAACAATATCGCCTTAAATAGCTATAGACTCTCAGTTGTCCTGTTTTTTAAAATTTAACTAAGCCAATGATGTTTTGGTCATTGAGTATTTAAAAACATGGCATCAGAAAATACAGTAGTTTAAAAAAATACTCCAACCTTATTTAACCTAGTAACATCTAGTTTATCATATGTGATACATGAGTTTTCTTGAATTCCATAGACTTCTACAGCATCAATGTAATTTTTCTTTTACCCTCCTCCCAAAAAAAACAACTAACTAAATTGCACAATACATTTTTGTACACAATACAAAAAAAAAACACCCAAACAAAATAACAATATTTACAAAATACAAATAATAATAATAATAATAATAATTTGCAGGCAATTATTTCATGGTTCAGGCTTTAACGTTTTAAGCTTTGGTCATTACATTGGTTTAAAGTGCCTATATGTAGCCTACGTTTTGGTTTGGAGAGAAAAATATAGCTTTTTGTGTGTCATTTTTTGCAGGGACACATCTTCGTGTATGTCTTCAGGGAAACACATGTTGCACCGAGGAAATGGAGGACAGATTTGGCCAACAGAGTAAACAAGACTTTGAGAATCTGGTTGATGAAATGAGTCACACACTGAGAAGCACCTTTGTTTCGAGACATAAAAGATTTGATGGTAAGTCCTCTTTGCTTAATGCTTTAAGATAATTATTTTTTTCTTTTTTCTTTTTTCTTTTAAAATTTGTTTTAATGGTCAGCCACTAGAGAACAAGTGCTGCGAAAAGGAAAACCAAAGGCTTGGGACTGTACATGTTAATTTGAAAGGGTTTACTACAGTTCTTTAGCTCTCCTCCCTGAAGAGGAGACGAGATGTGAAAATCTCATTAATATGCCTTGGAGTGGAGAAACCTCTTGCTGGATTAGACAAACATGGCTACTTGCGCTGAAGATTGACAGCTTCAACAGCAGCACAAAGCCAGCTTCTGCATTATTAAGGTTGTTTGGTGGTCTTGTGCTGTATGTAATCTTGTCCTAGTCCCATTGTGACTTTCTTGACCACTACACGTTTAATAAGTTTTTGTATGGGAGGAGATGTGCTCATTACTGAACCAAGCCTCACTCTGCCTCTCTACTTGTCCCTGTTGGTGTTCTTCTCTATGGGGTCAGCTCCTTCTAGTTACAATTTAATGAGAAATAATAATCCTTTCAACTCTCAGAAGACCATGTGGTTAGCAACAGCTTATCACTGTGGACAACGGTGACAGGTAGAAGAGGTGGAGAACTGTCAAGTGTAGCCGCCTGTCAACACTGTCATTAAAATAATAATAATAATAATAATAATAATTAATTATTATTATTATTATTATTATTATTATTATTATTATTATTATCAAAATACTAATATTAGTAAAATAGTTATTATTATTTAGAAATCCAATATAATGCCTTTCATTACATAGATATCTTTAAAGTTTAAAGACTTCTTTTTATCTCCAAAGAATTGATGGGCCAAAACTTTCCATGTATAAAAGTTGATTAAAGAATATCTAAGAATATTAGATTGTAATGGTTATTGGTAGTACTTAAACCTTAGCAAATACAGTATATGCTCACACTTTATGCAAAAACATTTTATTAGGTACACTTTGTCAGTACTGGGCTTGACCTCCGTGTATCTTCAGAACAGCCAACAAGTTGCTGGAAACGATCCTCAGAGTTTTTGGTTCATATTGACATAATAACATCACTCAGTCGCTGCAGATTTGTTGGCTGTGCTTCCAGCATGGGAATCTGTCAATCCAACACAGTACAGTGAACTCATTGTAATGTTCAAGAAACCATTTTGAGATGATTTTGAACTTTGTGACATGACGTGTTGTCCTGCTGAAAGTAGGCACCAGGAAATATACTGTGGTCCAAAAGGGATAGACATAGTCAGCAACAATACTCAGGCAGGCTGTGGTGTTTAAAGCATGCTAAGCTGGTAATTAATGGCCCAAAGTGTACCAAAATGGCATTAAACACACCATTACACCACTACCATTAGCCTGATCCATTGATACAGGGCAGGATGGATCCAGATTTTCATGCTATTGGCTTCATGTTCTGATCTAGACTCACTGGACAAGGCAGCATTTTCTTTTATTGACCAATTTTAATGAGCTAATGGGTATTAGCTTCATTGTCCTTTTCTTAGTTGACAGTAGTGTCACCCGGTGTGGTCTTCTACTGCTATTTGCTTTAAGGTGCTATCTGTGACCCCAGCTGGTGGTGGCAGATGGTGCCCTTCCTTGAGAATGGTTTTGGGTTTAGGGAATTTCTCTTTCCCACTGTCACTCATCAGTGCTCAAAGGGGGTCATTGATTGTTGGGGTTTTCTCTGTTTTCTTTGTATTATTGTAGGGTCTTTATCTTAAGATATAACTGTCATGATTTGGGACTATTCGTAAATAGCACTGTTGAGAAATTGAATTGAATTGATTCACCTTTCCACCTCATTCTGATGCTTATTTGAAATTCAGCAGTCTTGATCATGTCTACATCCCCAAATAGGAGTGGGCAACATAGCCTTAAAATGATTTCTTTAAATATATTTAAAGAAATAATGATATTTATGATGATATGCAGAGAAAATAAATACTAAAAATATGTGACTGATGCCTGCAGGCATTACCTTTTTATCCTTCTTTTCCAGCGAGTACAGAAGCGTGCAGAACATTGTAACATAATACAACTAAAAAATCTAACAACCACAGTATTTTCCATCCACAGTTAACTCTTCTCATCATGTGGAGTGTAACCACTTAGTGCTCCAGTGATACTCCACTGAATCATTTGTTTCACGTTTGTTTTACACCACTGTATCTAAAACACCAGATGATTCTTGTTGCAGTTAAGGATGTTAATATATTGTGTCTGTTACTGTGAAGAATAATTAAAGCTGCTTGCAGCCACGTCTGGCAACCTTGACTAAAATAAAGGAAGTGTCTTTGGTGAGTAGTACAAGCAAACTTCCCCAGTGTAGGGGTAAAAACTGCATAAAAAGAGACTTAAAAGAAATGCAGAAACTAAAAGGTGCAAAATAATAATATAAAAATAACAAAAAATAAATATATACAAATAATTTTTTTTTTTTTTTGCCATTAAAGACATAACAAATTAAGGCTTAAGCAATCTTTAGTAAAAGCCCATTCAGTATGCCTCTTAAATAACTTTGACATAAATTATCTGCTACCGTGCATGTAGGACTACATGCACAGGTCCTGGGTCTTCAACATAAATGGCAAAACTCCAAGTTAATTTTGAGTTTTATGTTCAGGTCGAGCATTTTTTAGGTGCGTTCCTCTGTTCTTGACAGCACTACTTGACTATTTGTCTTAATATATGAATTTAACTGTAAAGCAACAGTCTCTTTGAAATTTGAATGTCCAGGGATCACAAAGTCAGAATTAGTCTCAGAACTGAAAATTGTTGTTGAGTATTTATTTTACTACCATGAGTGCAGCCATCGAACTGATGCTACACAACTTGTGTTTGTTGTCATGCCTGCCATAGATGCACAGGAAACAGCTAGAAAACAGACTAACCACAACATTGATAATAAGGACAATTTTAACAACTATGCATCCTAATAGTCTTAACATATATGCTAAACTAAAGTCACCGACATCACCATTAATTACTTGCTGTATAATATGTTAATGTCCACTAAATGCATGTAAATTACAACATGGGTAAAGCCTAATTTCTCAAAAGAGAGAGAGTAATTATCTAAAAAAATTTATTCAAGTAAAGATTGAAAGCATGCATTTTAATATTTTGCGACTGGAATATATTCAAAGTCAACAATGGATATTGGTTGAGTGATTTAAGTGTGCAATTTAATATTCAGCAGTCAATGTCATGTCGTTCTGTCTTCATTCTATTCAAAATATTCAACATATTATATGAAACGAATGCTATTGGGTTACAGCGTGCTACTCTCAGATGATTCCACTGGTGCCCAGAAACTCAATGTCACAATGATGTCTGTTTATTTATTTATTTTTTTTCCAGGAATACACTTCTTGAGCCCACATGTGATTCCTGGAAGCATGCATGAATAAATAAGTGTTATTTTGATCATCCCCTGTCAAGATGGTGAATATCATGAGGAAGGAAAATGGGGTTTGTCCAGCAGCACTTAGATGCATGACTCCGGGCACCCCTTGTTCTCGTGGGGTTTGCGGCCACTCTCCATAATTTCATTAGAGTCAAAGCAAATGCTGTTTGCAGGTTTTTGAAGGAGACTGTGTGTCGGATGAGGGTCTTTACTGATAAACTGTTTAGGAAATCTGAGATATTGTTTGCTAAATTAAAAATTTTCCCTTACTGTTTGTTTATGTAATCAGTTTAACTAGATGATTTAACTAGCAGATCAGCTGCTCAGGCACATTAAAAAAAACTTGTTTTATAACGATTGTATAATTTCTCCGTGTTCCCAGAGGTGCGCTTATTCATTATGAAGCAGTATTACCTAAATAACAAGATACTGAACCAAAGAATATAGTTAAAGATCCAAACAATAAAGAGCTTTTAGTTCACTTAATAGCCCTTTTTCTGTCTTTTCAGAGCTTTGCTTTAGATTTCCGCCTACAGAGAGTCAGTGTATTTGAATATTTTTTTCATTTTATGCAGACTGTGATGACGGGTACTGTAGCAGATAGTAGTTGGGCAGCCCACACCTTCCTGACACCACAGCCTATGTGTCACAATAAGAGGGTACGGTCTCAACCATGCCAAGACTCATCCACTCTGAAATCTCTACAACAGCTCAGGGGCACGGTACACTTGTATCTAAAAGAGAAACAATATCATCAGTGCCAAACGTGCAGCAGAATTCCTGTAATTTAGTAATAAATGCCATTATTATAATATTATAATATTCACTATAATCCATAAAATAACACCAGAGAAAATAACTGGTCTAAGAAACCAGACAAAGCAAATGCTAGCACAGAGAATTCTTTTTTATCTCACTCATTAAAGTCCAACGTCAGGGTTTGTAATTGCTAATCAATTCTTGGCCCTGCTGACCACAAACACCATGGTGCTGAGCATCCTAGCAGAATATTAATGTGGTCCATCCTCTGTAATTTATCCAATACGAACGGCCTCACACATTGTGTGTGGTACCCATTGATATCAGTTGCATTGTCACAGTGTTGTTAAATCTTTACCGTTATATATAAAAATGTAAACTGTATTTTTATGCAGTCAATGTTGAGGTGCCCTTGACCAAAGCACTTAACCCAAAAAGACTCCTGAGAAAGTGCCAACCATATAAAACAGTACTGTGTGGGCAGCAAACAGGTGTGGTTATGTGACTAGAAGACTGTACCTGAGATTCTGCCAGAGGCCTCTTTCTCTTTATTTCTCATAGGAAATTTTTGATCTCATTTCTCTAATATTGTAGGGTCCTACTACAGTACAAAGAGTATAGATGACATGACATGAGTGTACAGATGAATTGTGAACTGGCGCTATATAAATAAAATAAAATAACATGGAAATACAACAGTATGTCTGCTTCTTAAGTTATGACGTATCTATCTTCTGAAAGTACTAGTTTCTGGTGTCTAAGTGATGAGTATTTGTTATTTTAGGTTATAAAAATAAATAAATAAAAACTGTTATT